AGAACCCCCACTGGTTTCTTTGTCTTTTTCTTCTTGTCTTTGAGAATGAGAGCCTTCAGGTCCTCTTGTCCCTAAGCCAGAGCCAGGAAAATCTGCTGAAATTGAGCATTATGTGCTTGAAGATCCTTAATATTTTATTCGAGAGCCATTTCTTTTTTGTTGAAATAAACAACGAAAAGATAAGAAACTGGTCCTGAAACCTGTTTATACGATGATATGCATGATATGCTTATGCAATGTTTTCAAGGACTTTTAAGATTTAAATTTTCTTAGACAAAGAGAGAATAAACATTAATTGCATTAGTAAGTTTAAATGGTTACAACAATGCCTCTTGGGCTTACAGTGGAAGAAACAAAGATAATATAAAATAAACTCCTAAAAAAAGGACTCAAGCTTCCCATGAACTCGCCTTCTTCGGTGCAATGTAGGCATTCAAATTCTGCTCCTCATGAAGTTATCTTGTGAGCTCCAAAACCTTCTCCTCTCTTGCATAGAACTGGGTTTTGAAGGTGTCTCGTTCCCCTTTTAGTTGAATCCAAGATCTTTGCAACTCCTCGAGAGTAGTTGGCATGTCAGGATGGAGAATAGTGTAAGGAACATCTCTCTCGATAATAGGCTGCATGATGATAGGTAGGATGGCTTCATAAGGAATCATAAGGCTTTGAGCACGAGCTCGCACCCACTTGAGATAAGGCTCTAAAGAAATGGAGTTCTTATGTCCTAACATCTTGCTATCAACCTTGTTAACCATGCCCCGAGCTCGTATGAATCTCTGACGATAACCTTGGACATCATTCTCGTAGTCGAATGCAATTCCTTGGACAAGTGCATTATGAGGGCCATCCCTTCCTAGCATATCCAAACTTTCGCAAAGCCAAACAAGGGTTATAGGTGATTGCTCCCCTAATTCCTAGGAGATAGACATTATGGAATTCCCCACAGCAATGAATGATGGTAACATCCTCCAAATATTGTGGACACCAATGAATATCCAAATGCGTGAAGGACATCAACCTATTAGACCATCTCGTGCCTTGCTCGTTCTTCACAACAGATCAGGGTAGGTGCGAAATAAACCACCTAGCCAACAAAGGAGTGCAGCACATAAGAAGTCCTCTTCTCTTCATGGTGCGAGTGTGAAGAGAGTGCAAGATATCCCTAAGTAAAGTAGGCACCAGATTGCGAGATAGAAAATTTTTGACTGCGCTCACATCTATGAGTTGGCCAGGATTGGGAAATAGAACCATCCCATAGATGAGAAGAGCCAACACTTCTTCAAAGGCTTGTAAATCCAGAGCATTCTAAAAATATTGAGCCCTCTCAAACAAAAACTTGGCTAGAAACCCTTTGACACCACTTCTTGTTTCAAAATTTGCCACAACGTCAGACCGTTGTAAATGTAGAGCTCAAGCAATATCCTCACATTTTGGGTATCTTTCAATACCGTTGAAGGGTAGTTTATCAAGAATAGGAATTCCCAAGAGTTGAGAGAATTCTTCCATAGTATGAACAAGTTAGTAATCAGGAAAGGTAAAGCAATGGTGTTTAGGGTCAAAGAATTGGAATAACACTTTCACCATATCCTCTTCAAAGCTTGTTGTAACCAAGTTGACGAGACGACCGTATTTCTTGGTGAAGGGAGAATCATTGGGGACCATTGATGCCAATTCCTTAAGTTGAGGAGGCATTTTGACTAGGTTGATTTGGAAAGTATTCCTGCGAGTGGGAGCCATGTCCTACAAAACAAGACAAAGATAAATCTCTAGGTCCTTGAAATGGTTAGTGCAAAATGCCATGGTATGATGCCATGATGTTATGTACAATTATATACACACAAAGCAAACAAGTCATTAGGTTTAGGCTTGCATTAGGTTTCATTGGTAAGTACCCTCTTTGAAGTTTTGTTGGCTCAACCTGTCCTAGAAAGTAATTGGTTTCAAGGGAATCTCAATATCACTGATATTTCTTCATTAGGAATTGTTTCAGCACAAGCCTCTTTATTAGCGACCGAAATATCCCGAAAGTCCGATATCAACGAGCGTAGTATCGAGTATCAACCAACTTTAGACTACACCAAAGCCGGCTATCTCACTACTTCCTAATGGCCAAGTTGTTCAATTAAAGGTTCTAAGGTCGGTTAGTGCTTCATGACACCATACAACGGCCCCATATTCTCCTTGACTAGACTCAAGGGATATCGGTACCAACAAATATGTCACACTATCGTATCCATCGCTTAAACCATGTCGGTATACCCCGCACAGTCTCCACAATCTATTGCTACTTACCTAATGGTGTTCCCAGATCCGGGTAGAGGATTAATACAAACCCAAATAAGGACCCATAAATGTAAAGCAAACAAATAAAACAATGAAAGAAATTAAATGTGACATAACTCTAAGGTAACCCCACTTTTAAGTTTCACTTCCCTAGCAGAGTCACCAGTTCTGTCATACGTCGGGAGAATTGACTCGGGTGTTTTGCGTTTTATCGCAAATGTCGCGGATAGCAAGAGTCACAATCGACTTTTCTTTTATCCAATAAGGAAAGGGTGAAAAGAATAGGAAATACCTTTCAAGATATTTTCTTGAGTTCGGGGGGTAGGTTATGAAAAGGGAAGATGTTAGCACCCTTTTCATCCGTAGTTATCTACGGGCTGTTAGTTTCTTGCTAGATCGCTTTTGAAATTGCTTTGTTTAAAATGTGTTTGTGGTGGTTTTTGAAAGTATTTTGAAAATGCCTTTGTTTTGGCAAACTTTGTAATGATTCTTGTCTCTATAAGAATGTATACAAAGTGTTGGTTTTGAAAATAGTTCAAAGAGATGTTTGTTTTTTGAAGATGTTTTGAAAGTGTGAGTCGGAAATGGTTTTTAGTTTTTGAGCAAGCAACTAAAAGCGTCCTACCTACTCAAAAGGTCTTTGTTCTTTTCCTCCTACTTTGGATGTTGCTATCTTACCATGGATTGGTAAGAAGCCCAATCATTGGATTTGAAGGAACGGGCTTGGGTCAAACATATAGTCATAGAAGGTAACTTATGAGAGGTTTTAGCAATTTTCGTAAGGGACTAGATCGTTTACTGAAGGCAACATCGAGGGACATCAAGGGACTACGGTCTTTTTATCGAGGGTCTTTGCTAAAATGCCCATATTCGAGGGACATGACTATTTTCCGAGGCAATAAGCAAGGTTACCCTAGAGGTGCATGTGTGAATAATGTGTTAGATTGTATGCATTTTTGTCTTTGAGATTAGGGTTTTCTTGCGGTTGATTTTATCTTTTCATACACACCCTAATTACTAACAATTTATATTAAAGCGGTAAATTGTGGAAATTAAAAATCCTAAGCTATTACATCATTAGGGGAGTGGGAGTACAATTTACAAATGGGGGATGAGGTAGAAACTTAAATATTACAACCATATCGAATAATAATGAAAGAAATACAAAAACAGTGTAGAGAAAAGGAAAAATTGCATTTTGAACTATTATGTGTCGACATATGCTGCTATGCATCGACACATAACTTTCCTTGCCCTTGACAAACCAAATCAACTCAGTATGAGTCGACGTATAATGGGATGTGTTGACTCATTTCCTTCTTGTGTCGACATATACGTGTTTTGTGTCGACTCATGCGCATTTTGTCTTTATGTTTTGGGGCCTGGATAACAGTATGATTTGATGCATAAGGCTATGTGTCGACTCATACCTTGTTTTTTAACTAGAATGTGTCGATGCATGTGGGCATGTGACGACTAGGGGTGTTCATATCCAAACCAACCCAATAAAAAACCGCAAACTGAACCTAACCAAACCGAAAACCGCAAAAACCGCATTGGGTTCGGATGCATTCGGACCAATTTTTGACAGAACTGTGCGGTTCGGTTCGGTTTGCGGTTTTCTTTTGTAAACCGATCCGATCCGAACCAAACTGCGATGTTTACAGACTTGTTTATTAATTACTGAATAGGCCCAATTATTAACTGGCCCAAATCCAATATACATGTTTATTGTTTCACTTATTTGCTTGCTAGGGTACAGTACACCGCCGCCGGTACATTGAAGAAGAACGACGGACATCACATGGTCAATCACACAAGAACAAACACGCACAACACATCACCACCTTGTTGATCGAATAACAGCCACAAGTCGAAGTTAAAGAACATCAGCAAACAGCGAAACGCAAACTGAATTCGAAGAACATTATTAAAATCTGAAAATCACTCAGGTAACGTTATTGTTCATCATGTTTAAGCTGTGTTCTATTTTCTCTTTTTGGTTACTGAAATCTGAAAATCAGTTTGGTTTGGTTACTGATCATAATGTTTATTCTGTTGTTTTACTGATCATGATGTTGTTGAATCTTATTATTGTTTATATGCTTGTTGTTTGTTGCTCAAACTTTTTGATGTTAATCCATAATTTAGAAACAAGATTTTGTTGTTGTTTGTTATCGATAAAAATATAGGAACCGAGAGAAGGATATTTGCTAATGATATTCGGAAGATAAACAGAATGAGATAGTGGGAATGTTGAAGTTGTTGTTTTTAAAACGGAAGAAATATAAGCGTGAAACTGAAAATAGAGGAACGAGAAAGAAGCGTGGAGCATAGCAGAGTTAATGAGGTTAAAGTGAGAAACAGAGGAAGTCTAGCGTGAAACTGAAAACAAAACATTTGAGTGGCTGGGAGTTTTAACATCTATTTTGTTTATTTGTTTTATTTGAGTAAATATAGTAATTTAATCCCAATATATTCCACTAGTAACACCACCATTTCCTTATTTTATTTTCAACAAATTGAATAAATCATGTCTTTGGACTACTGAATTTATTTAGTACCCTAAACCCATAAATCTGAAATGTTGCTCGCAAGGAAGTCACAAGGAAGTCAAACATCAAAACAAATATGTTAGCTAACTTTTCCGTACTCATAAAGGTTTATGTTTTATTTTCATTTCCTTGTCTCTAATATATTGTGTCCTCTATTTCTTAGATATGAATATTGATAAAGAAGTCAATTATGTTGCTGGCTCTGATGCTTCCTTTTCCATGGCCGAAAATTAGGTAAAATAATGATAAATGAGTGTATTTGATAAATGTTAAGTTCGTGATTGGAATTTATTTAATGGCTATAATAAAGTAGTTATATTTATAGTGTATGTGTTATGTTTTTTAGTCTCAAAATAGTCCACCGACGCCTACAACAAACCAACCAAAAACTATTGATTTGGACAAACAAGAAGGCGACAATGTTCAACATAAAAAGAAAAGGAAAGTTGGAGAAGCGGATGAGTCTAAAGCTGATGATTCTAATGCTGGAGATTTAGGTAAACTAAAACCTTGTAGGCCTAAATCTTGGGTTTGGGATCATTTTACAAAAGATGAATCCGGTACTCGGTCTAAATGTAATTGGTGTATGAAATCTTATGCAGCTGATTCACATAAGAATGGAACCTCAAATTTAAATAAGCATTTGATGCATCAATGTAAAAAAATTACCAAACATGTTCTTGATCCTAGTCAAACCACTTTTAGCCTTCAAGAAGGCTCTAAAGTAAATATTAATGCACTTGTTGGTATCCATTTTGATATTGAATTGTGTAGACAAGCTTTAGCTAGAATGATAATCGTGGATGAATTGCATTTTTCTTTTGTTGAGAACGAAGGATTCTGTCATTTTATGAGTGTTACACAACCTAGGTTCCCACTTCCAGGAAGGATTTCAATTTCTAGGGATTGTTTGAGTCTTTACGTGAGTGATAAACATAAGTTAAGAAGCATGTTTACTAAAACAAATCAAAGTGTTTATCTAACAACTGATTCTTGGACTTCTGTGCAAAATACTAATTATATGGTTCTTACTGCGCATTACATTGATCAAGACTGGAAGTTGCATAAAAGGATTCTCAACTTTTGTCCAATAACTTCTCATAAAGGGGAGATAATTGGGAGAAATATTGAAAAGTGTTTGGAGGGTTGGATGATAGATAAGGTTTTCATCATCACAGTTGATAATGCTTCTTCAAACGATGTTGTTATCGCTTACCTAAAAAATAGAATGGAGGATTGGAATTCACATCCATTAAAAGGGGAGCATTTACATATTAGATATTATGCTCACATTCTTAACCTTGTTGTCAATGATGGGTTGAAGTTGAAGCACATGTATTCTTCGCTTTCCAAAATTAGGAGAGCGGTTCAGTATGTTCGTCAGTCACCTGGTCGTTTAGATAGGTTTAGGACATGTATTAAAGAAGTTAGGATACAAGACAAGTCTACTGTGAAGTATGATTGTCCCACTAGGTAGAAATCCACATACCTTATGCTTGAAAGTGCATTGAAGTTTCAAAAAGCCTTTAAGAGATTAGGTGAAAAATGTGTTGAGTATGTGATGTTGGAAGGTGGTGTCCCAAATAATGAGGATTGGGATAATGCCAAGTGTTTTGTGAAATTCTTAAAGTTGTTTTTTGAAATCACTACAAAGGTGTCAGGTTCTACTTATGTAACATCTTCTACTTATTTCATGGAACATTGTACGATATTGGGGGCATTAAAGACTTGGAAGGAATGTCATAAAGATGACCCATTACTTACAAATATGGCTAATGCTATGGATGATAAATATAGTACTTATTGGGGAGAAGTCAAAAAGATGAATATACTAGTCTTTATTGCTGTAATTTTTTATCCTCGACGTAAGTTCCAATTTATTAGGTGGGGATTGGATAAGTTTTATGAGAAGGAAGTTGCTGATTTTTTGTGTGATAAGGTGAAACAAACATTAAACAAAATGTTTGAAAGTTATAGTATTTTCTTAAGTAAAGACCAAGCCGAAAGTGATGCACAAGAAATAGGGCTATCGGAAGTTGTTACATCTTCTGATCATATGGATGATCAATTTGAGAAGGACATGGACCAAGATTCAAATTTAAATAAAAATGAAGTGGATTTGTATCTCATAGAGACGAGGGAGAAGAAAAGTCCGGATTTTGACATCTTGAATTGGTGGAAGGTAAATTCCACCAAATACCCTACTCTTGGTTTAATAGCTAGAGATATCTTGGTTATGCCAATATCCACTGTTGCTTCGGAGTCAGCTTTTAGCACAGGGGGTAGAGTTCTTAGTTGTTATAGGAGCTCTCTTACACCCCATACCGTTGAATCTTTAATATGTGCACAAAATTGGTTAAGATCCTCTCCTTTGAAAGTGGATATTGAAGAGCACTTGGAAGACTTGGACAAACTTGAACAAGGTATATGTTGTAAACTTTGTTTATGAATATATTTTATTCAATTGTTTGTTTTGTCTAACATTTGGTAATATATTTGATTATTTTTAGAAATGGCTCCAATCCCACAAGTAAATGAGGGACTTTCTGATATTGAATCTGATTAGAGACTTGCTTGAAAAAATGGTATGTTTTATTTGGAGTAGATTCTTTTTGCTTTTGTTTTGTCTATAATTGGTTTTTGTTTATAGTGTTATATGGTATGGTTTTACTTTTCATAGCAGGTTTTGGAATCTAATATTTATAATTATTTACAACTTGATTTGTGTTTTGAAGGTTATTGCTTGAAGGTGATTTACAACTTGGCAGCTCAATCCAAGAAGCAAGAAGAAACAATTGAAGAAACATATTATTAGTGCTTTTGAGTTTTTATGACTTTAAAGTCCTTCGTTTGAATACTATTTTGATGGTTAATTTATGTATTGAAATGAATACTACTTTGGTGGTTAATTTGATGCTTTTGATTATTAGTGATTGAATACTACTTTGATGGTTAATTTATGTATTAAATACTATTTTCATGTCAACTATTTTGAATATTGCATTTGATTGCATACTATTTTAATTATTGTCAAATTGTGTGCAAGAAGAAAAAACTCACATTAGTGTCAAATTGTGAGAATATATGTAAGTTAATTGTAACAACAGTAGTGTTACCGCACGCGAGTAAATATGTGTTATGCATTTATACATTTAACAAAACCGAACCAATCCAAACCACATTGGTTTGGTTTGGTTTGGTTTGGTTTGGATTTTTTTCCTCAATGAACCGAACCAAACCGAACCGCATGTTTTTTTCTCTTGCGGTTTGGATGATTTTTTCTTCAAAACTGCCCAAACCGCACCGCGAACACCCCTAGTGTCGACTGATGCTGCGGTTTTTTGCCTTAAACATTGTTTTATTGTCTGTATGGGTCAGTTTACAGCATGTAATTGATAAACACAAACAACAAGCAAATGGTTAGCTCAAAGGGGCAATGATTACTACATTTTTTTTCTTCAAAAATAAAGCATCAATGATGTATGAAAAGATGTAAAGTCAATAAGACTCACCTTGGGACTGCACTTGGTGTTTTAATTCTGAATATTTTTCCAACTGTTGTGATGGCTACAATGAATCTCCAAAACTGTTGAATCACACTAACTCAGTCAAGTTGTACAGTACTATTTTTATGTTTGGAGGGTGAAGATAATGGCACTATAGGGACTGTTTTTATGTTTGAACAATCTCTATGTGATAAGGTATTTGGTTTTTGGGAGATTTTGTAAGATGGAATAATGGATTGAGGGTTTCTGTTTTTAAGGAAAGTAGAGCTGGTTTTTTTGAATGAGCAAAAGTTACAAGGAATGGTGTTTTTTTTGTTCAAAACTCTATATTCTCTCTCTAAAAGCCAACCCTTTTTGTGTTGTTAAAATAGTCTATTTATATAGGATTTTTCTTGGATTTTGGGAGGGAAACAAATAACAATTTGAACAGTTTGGGTATGATGCATCATTGCCTTTTAGATGCAGCTCTCATATGCAAATTTGTTGCAAACATGGGGCTAAGATAATGCAGGCTTGGACTGGGTTGATAGTAGCATAGCAAGACTATTTTGCAGCAATTTTGGAGTGTTGTGGCAGTGTTTGGAGATTGCGTAGCAGGACCGTTTTGCTCAGGACAACAGACTATCTTCTAAACATGATTTTGAGCTGTTGTGAGGGTATTACAGCAGGCTTGGACAACATTGTTTGTAGCATATGAAACAACCGGATGAAAATCATCAAACAATAAAGTCGCCATCGAACGTCTTTTATCCCACATGAAGGGAAAGGTAAACATCGAGAAAACCTGAGAAGGGAGAAGTCATGGTCTTGCGACCGAGAGATCGGGTAAGAGAGTCTGTTACGCGAGGGGAAGGTATTAGCACCCCACACACCCGTAGTACTCTATGGTATCCACTCTTGTTGTCTATCTTATGGGTGTGTTCAATCTATGCTTATTGTTTACTATACTACTGGAGGGAGAATGCATGCAAAATAAAGGAGAAAAGAATGTAGGGAAAATAAAGTTGTACTCGCTTGGGCCCTACCCCAATACCTACGTATCCTTTTTGAGGAATCAGAGCTACCGTAGTTAGGCTTACATGTTTTTGTTTGTTTGTGTTTTTTATAGACTATGCTAATTTCTCCTTCTTCCGCAGCTCGACCTTTGGAGACTTATGCGTTGGCACAAAAGTAAATTAATCATGTCCTTACCAGAAAAGGGTTTTAGAGAAATGGTGCTCGAGCGCACAAAATGGTTTGAATTGGTTTTTATTTTTGTTACCTTGAAAAAGGGTTTAAGTGAGATTAGCATGTTTTTAATTTTCTAAGAAAAGAAGTTTTTGTTTTAGATGCAAGGATGCAAAAAGGGAAAGAAAAGAGTCTAAGGGAGACTAGCCTATTTCTAACCTAATGTTATCATAAAATGGTGGTCCTAAGGTTTGGATTAACAAAAGGGAAACATCTACCTAATGTTAGCATGCATGGTTTGCAACCTAAGGTCTAACTCGCATCCGAACGGAGCAAGTGCATCCTAAGGAAACATGGTATATACATGGATAAAGGAAATAAGCTAATAAGCTCAAGAGAGCACACCAAGAGAAATCCTATCTAAGTTAGCATGTTAAAGAAAGTCTAGAAAAACTATCCTATAAGGAACATGCAATGAGAGCGAAGTCGTGATCTCAATTTCTAAATTGAGTGACTCATCGATCAACAAGAAATAACAGAAAGCGATAAAATCCTATAGGGAGCATGCACTGAGAGCGAAGTCGTGATCTCAATTTCTAAATTGAGTGACTCATCGATCAACAAACAAAGAAGCAAATGCAAGCACAACACATATAGCAAATGAAGTGCGGAATGCCTGCTACAGGTCTTTAAACAGCGACTTCGAGCACACGCTCTTTATTTCCTACTTCTCATGGTATCTAGAAAGCAATAAAGTGCGAAAATAAGGAATAAAATGAGGTTGCAATTATACCTAACGGAGAAGGTCTATTGCCTCTTCAAAACCACGCAAGAGATAAGAAAACTCTACAGGAGATGCTCCGCACGACTGATCAAAAAATTAATCTCCAAGCATTCCCCATCGCGAAAGTTACATCAATATCCTATCATAAAATCCTAGCTAAAAATGGCAACAAAAATGATTACCAAGCATAAAAATAATAGAAAATTCTAATAAAATTCTAAAGAGAATCTAAAAATATTTCCTAAAATATTCTACTATTTTTTAGGTTATTTTGTCATAACAAAAATATTTAAAAAAACTACAAAGTTCCTAAATCTTAATATGAAAATATGAGCTCAAGGGGGTGAAAACTGAATTCATGGGGTTCTATAGAAGCAGTCAGAGTATTAGTGCCAAGCCCAATCTAAAAGGAAGTTCACAAAGCAGACTTTTTTTGCACAAACTTCTTCCTTCTCCAATAAAGCTGCAATGGGCTTGCAAAATATTATAAAGCCCAGACCCATCACCAATTACTCTTAATTCAGCATTATTTTATTTTATTTTCTAAAGAAAATACAAATAACGGAATTAATTGAAATTAAAAATAATAATAATGATGAAAAAGGAATGAAACAGTGTTGGCTCTGTTAGGGTTCCAGAAGGTGACTATTGAGCTTCATCATGAAGGCAGATTCGCTTCTCCTTCCAAACAAATTGTGTCACTGACGACTACCACTATCTCCGATCGACACGTCCAAGCTCCTCACCATCTTCGTTTTTCCATATTCCTTCAGTTCCGAATCTGTCTCCCACTCAAACTTTCACTCTCAAGCTCAAGCTTCACCGTCGCTATCGAAGCTTTATCTCAGCGATTCCGCCACGCCGTGAATAGGAGGCTTAAACGTCTCCTTTTACAATCTCTGTTGTCGCTGCTCGTGTGACAACACTGAAGTCGCCGTTCAACTTATCTTCGAACTCAATACAAGCTCGCCGCGGACATTCGACACCTCCATTCATCCTCTCCGTTCACATCTGATCAAG